TACTAATCGGAACGCTGTTTTGTTCCCGGAGAGGAGCTCTCGAGTTATGAAAGCTGCGATTCCTCGTGGAGGTGAGAAAGGTTCGCGTGGACCCAGCTACAAATTATGAGAGGGCTTAATGGCGTTGCTATTGCAGCATCGCCAATGGAGCCAAACATTTCCTCATGGGTGCAAGCCTTTGCCGGACACGTCCAGAGCCGTCACACAGTCCCCGGCCCTGAGTCGGTTGCGAGGACTGGTGCGCTGCAGGAGCATATGCATGGGGATGAAGGACCAGCAGATGTCGTTTGCGATAGGCCTGAGACCCTCCACTCCAAGCGTGCTTTGGAATGCAACGCTACTAACGACCGTTCACTCCCACTGTCCCACAACATGTAGCGTAAGGCGGACATCAAGACAGGCGTCAGACCGTAAGGCGACGTAGGAACCGCTCGAGTGGGGATGGGCTGGCACTAGGAAACGCCACGATCAGAAGTAGCCGCACTTTGTTTCTGATATCGATGTCTTCACCCACAAGCTGTGCTGGGCGAGGACAACCCAAGATGCCCAATTGGTCGTGGAGATTGGTCGGGAAAATGCAAGGCTTTGCAGTCGGGCCTTCCAGGCTAAATCGCCGTCGTCGAGCGGGAGGAGGGGATCGCGGTGCCGGCCAAGCCCCCCCGTTCCTTGCTCCGAATTATCGACAAGGGTTAGAAGGGGTATCTGAGTGCAGAAACAAGCAACGACCAGGGTTTGAGCACTGTTTAACTCCATCGTTTTGCATTACTAGAGGATTGCCGCAGTATATATAGACGCTACCCTGCCCTCGAATTCCGCACTATTTAACCTTAACCCTTTTTATAAGTTACCCATCCTTTCCTCTATTCTACCCTCTCCCTCGTTAAGGGATTATTAAAATCGTAGTTTTAATAGTTTATTAATAAGTTAGTATTACTATTTAAAAATAAATAACTTACGCTCGTATATAAGTACTAGGAGTCTTATTATTATAAAAATAGTAATAAATATACTAAAGTATTTAAAAAAGCTTTTTAATAGATTTTTAATATTATTTAAAACTATAATCCTCGAGTTATAAAAAGAAACTAAAGCGCTATATTAATACGGCCCTATTTATTTTATTAATATTAATAATAGTTTTTTTAGTATAAAATATATTATTAATATTCTATAGTTATATTACTACGCTTCGTAAATCGTACTTAACGTTAATAAGGATTTTAGTATTATTTTTTAATTCGTCTCTTAGTTTTTTTATTAAAGCCGTTATTATAAAGTTAGTTTAGTTATTAATATTTTAATAAGTATTTTAACTTAACTTAGAGGCTCTTATAGCCCTTAAAAAGAGGTTTTTAAAAATTTTATAATTAAACTTTTTATTTATTATAAATAAAACTATTATAATTAAAGCTATAGCGTTACGAACTTCGATAGTAAGTAGTTAGTAATATAATTTTTTTTTTTATAGCGAGCTTAAAAAAGTATCTTAATTTAAATACTAAGTAAGTACTATACTATTTTATTAAAACTATATTTTTATATTTATAACTTAGAAAGAATTAACTTTCTTCGATAACAAGGTACTCAGACCAGGGTTTGAGAAACAAAAGCTCCCTCGTGAAAAAAACAATCTCATCTCGGGATTGTGCAAAAGAAGATAACGCGGGCGGGATAAAGGGGGGGCGGTCGATGGGTCGAGATGTTCGCGCTGCGGGGTACATATCTTGACAAGGACCTAAGAAACAATTTGTTTGTTTGTTTTCACAAGCATGTTGCATTTGCCGATGGGGTTCGGAGGATATCGACTTCTTTCTGCACAGCCGCTCGTCGTCCATACATTTTTGATATTAGTATTTTTCAATATTCCTCATCGGCCAATATCCGTCCCCTTCACCATCATCCGTTCGTGCATGCAGAGACGGCAGCTCGGAGTGTATGTGTGGCCATTCAGAGCCACTTTCTTCGGCCCAAGTCGCGGATCCTTCTTTCTTCTGCAATGGCACGGAGATTGGGTAGTGCCCGGGGGGCCAGCCCAACATTCTCTGCAGTAATGGCAAAGCCTCATGAAACAAAACGGCCATTTCTTACTGGAAGAGTCCGATTGATGATAGGGCTGCACCGCCACATATCAACAGCGATGCAAATTGTTTCCGTTCCAAGTTGGGAAACGTGGGTATTGCGACCATCTTCGGTCGAGATCTCCATGTTGTGCCATTCGCCTCGCCGCTGTTATGTAGGTAATCTCGGGTGATACAGCAGCATTGATGGGAACCATTTCCCGCCGCCCACTATTATTACTCCCGGGCTTGTAAATGGTCACTGCGGCAGCATGGCGGACTTGCTTGATAAAAGCATCGCCAAGTCGGGTGCTTCGCGACACGCGGCGATGAATGTAGTTTGGACTGTTCAGAGCTTCAGTCGCTCCATGAGCCTCCAAAGGCCTCGATCAGCATCGCCAACCGTAAATGAGGTCATGTTTGGGCGATCCGGTCTGGACTCAGTGGCAGGGTTCAACCCTTCCCCGGCAGACCTGGTGAAATCAAAACATGTTCAGGACAGCCAAGCGCGCCAGTCTACAGCCCCTGCGAGTGATGAAAGGTGTTCATCGGTGACGGCTCGTCCAGCTAAACGTCGACGCCTGCAGGAAAATGCTAGACCTGGACCTTATGTAGGTTGTTCGGGCTAGGTGCTTCTCTAGGCCCTAGAAGCCTTTCTGATCGCCATCATCATTTGTCAATCATCGTCGACACCCCAGCAGTAGTTCGGAACGTGAGGCCGATTTGGAAGGCTAATCGGCGCGGCAACTGCAAAAGCGCAACGCGCAATCGGTCGTTAACGACGGTATCTGTACTCCGTACGAATACTGCGCTCAGGCCCCGCCTCAAGCTCGCAAAGCATCGGCGTCGAGTCTGGGAGGCTAGCAGGATCATGCGCCGCCATAAGATCGCTTCCAACTGCTAGTTCTACTGCTCGCTTGTATCGCCTCGGTTCAGTCGCGTTTGAGTAGCTTGACAGCCGACGCTTTCCTGGCTGGCACCTTGCGAACCGTGTCGGCGCTTTTTGCACCATCGTTCCAGGATTTTGGGCCTGACGCGAACAGTGTGTCCTGGGCGGCAACACGCAGCAAGGACCACCATGCTGTGCTCTTCACAGGATGTCCCAATCGCGCTTGTCGAGTTCATCTCATGATATGTGTGCCGCCTCAGACTGTTCGGGTATTGCATGCAAATCTTTCGGCAAGCCTTTCCTTGGAAAAGGACGCAACCTAAGGGGTGGACGATTGACGATGAACTAAACTTTGGCAACGAGCCCACACATGCGGCGGCTTGCGCCCGTCAGTGCGTCTGCAATGACCAAGCTGCCGCCTGCGAGTCAACGGCGCTGTCAACTCGAGGTAAGGGCCCATTAGCATTTGCCGGGGAGATCAGCGCCAGGGCCGTCACGGCCGTGCTGACTCAACACTGACAACCTGCGTCCATCGGACCATCTCTTGAAGATTGGGCAGTTAGGGCCCAGGGTGCACCGGGCATCGCCAGGGGGACTCAGTTCATCCAGAATCCGTCGACCAATCGAGCGAGGTGATGAACAGAGGGCGGCAGCCTCTTCGCGGGTCTCGCGAGGGTGTAAATTTCGGGAGATGGAAAAAAAGACGATGCGGTTCTCAATCGAGCAGCAGATTTCTTACGAGGACGGGGATCATCGTCCCAAAGGAGGCTGCTGTGCCGGAAACGTGCCTCGAAAGAGCTTAGACGCGAGTGGAGGCCAGATTAATTCGTCCATGGCCGGAGAAATGTGGATGACAATTGCATGGGGCGGCCCTCTTCGGTAAAGACGGTTTGCAACTGTGACAAGGTCCAGAGGAGATGCTTGGCAGAGAATCAGGGAGTCTTGCGCCATTCTCGTGTCCCCCCGTCCCCATCCCTCCCCCGAATGAGAGTGACCCCAGGCTTGTTTCTTGCTTGTCTTGTCATCCTCGACGGATACACTACGTATCCGTGTGTGGGAACTCGGGGGGGATGGCGTGTATGTCGTCTAGCAGTGCCACAAAGAGCCGACTGCCGCGCGAGAGCGAGCAATGGCCCTTGGACGCTCTCATTTTGTCCCCGCCGCTGTGGCACTCTCAAGTTGCTCTCTGTCGATCCATCTTCATCCCATGGCTGGTTGGTACTTCACACTCAGTACCTGTCTCCAGGCTCCATGCTGTTGGAGCGGCCCAATTCGGAGATTTCAAGACCTGGGACTCTTGACGCGCTGGTTGCAACACGAAATCCATAAAGCGAGCAGAGCCGACTGTCTGGAGCCGATTTTTTGCGCCTCGTGGCTGCCGCAAATGTTTCAATCCCTGGTACGGACGGTCTAAGCACCTGCATCACCAGCTAGTCATGAACCAGAGTCTGCTCAGGTTCGTGCCTGGCGCAATGCCAAGTGCAAAGGCAAGAAATAATGAAAACCCTTCTCATTCAATGGGCAAATAGTGCATCGGCTCATCGATGGTGTTGTGCAGATGTGTGCTCGGAATAGGGGCCATTTCCATTGGGAGGGGTATATCGGATTGCAGATATAGGTCTTAGCCCGTCGGTTAATGGCCATGGGTGGAAAAGGGGATAATTTCGGTCGTGAATCCACAAACGAGACTTGGAACTTCTTGTTTCTCAAAAACTCCGAGCCATCAATCAGTACGAAGTGCTCCGTATGAGTGACAAAAGCATGCATTTAGATGAGAAAGTGCCATACCACGATGGCGAGCCCCTTGCTGCAGGGAACGTACGGAGGTCGGCCATGGCCGAGTCGTGATTGTGGCTGTCAATGGTCTTGCTGTTTATCTGATGTAGATTCGTGTTTCCCATGTCTACACAGCCCGGTCGAGCCCTGTCAAGTGTTTCGACGTCGAAACACAGACCACCGCCAGACCAAATCAGTCACTCGTCGAGAGTGTCGAAACAGTCCGCCATCGAGTGCCGTGCTCTTTTATCCAGATATACCTCTCCACCGTGAGCAAGATGACGAGAAATCTGGGCGACGGTCGGCAGAAGGTGGTCGTGTCCCTTAGAGAACCAATGAGATGTGCATCGAGCAGCAAAGAGGGCCAAGGCGTGACAGGGCCCGTGAGGGCCGTTAGGGGCTCTATGGTGGACCGACCAGGACGAGGGCTAGTCGGACAAGCAGGCGGCAAGCCATCTGCACATGGTACCCGCTTCAACGAGAGGCGTGACGGGTCCATGCCCGCACGATCTCGCTGGAAATTCGCCGTGAGCCCCCTTGAACACCCCCCGGACCGTTACATCCAGCAAGGGATGCTTCCGCCGCGAACGTTGGTCTGTGACGAGGTCTGCGACTTGGACGGGGACGCTCTCTAGGTGAGGCGCGTCAAGAATAGCGCAGGAATCGTACCAGCTCTAGGCAAGGCCCGTGGATCGCGGATCGAGTTGTGAAAACCCGCAAAGTGTGAGAAAGAGATTGAATATTGGCAGGGAAATGTTTCTTGGACGAGAACCGGGAGAACTCGGCCTTGATAGCTAGCAGTACGAACTGTCGTGGTTTCTCAAATTGTGCCAGGCCCAGGGTAACTTCCGTGCCGTGGCTTTGGTGGCGTGCTTCTAAACGCTCCCGAAGTGGCGGTACAGCAGCAGATGCGATCGACCTTGTAGCCGCGCCGCCGGGGACTGCCAGTGAAGGCGGCTCTCAGGAGAGGATACTCGTACGACAATCATCTTGCGGGATCCCGATGGAGCGTTCCGTATAGGTACTTGGAGTTGTGAGGTAGACGTCGTAATTGCAAGGGGGCCATATGACAGCTCCGGATAACGTGTGTTGAAGCGGTCGGTTAGAGGCGCATACACTTGTCTCTTGACTTTGATGCGAAAGCATGCCGCTTCCAGGTGCGGAACAGAGTAGGCGATAGCCCGTGTTAGGAGCGAATACATTCATATGCAAGCTTTCAAGGCTGAAAAGTTTTTGTAGATAGCACTGCTCGAACAGTGCATTGTTGGTCCTCACTTTCCTCTTCGTGCCTCGATAAACACTGTTTGGAAGGGGGAATAGTTATGCGTAGCAAGCACTATACAAGGTCTCCAGTTGTGAAAAAAGAACAGGCTCGAATGAAGTTGACGTGGTTCCCGCGTCGTACTAGTTGACTGTGCGTCTGTTAGCGCTGTCACTTGCAGGCGTAGCTTAACGGCTTGGATTGTCGGTGCAGAGAGCGTGGACCAGCGGTGTCCACAGTGGCTGACACCTGCTGTCAGGTACTGTCACTTGACGAAGCGCGCGTGAGAGGCGTCATCTAGGCGTTGCACCGGGGGCCCAGGTCGAGCGAGTCGAGGAAGCAGTCTGCAAACGGGAGCTTGAATGGAGGCCGGCGAAGAGGTTGGAGACCAGGGTGACGGGACCAAGACTTAGAGCGGCGGCGGCGGCGGAGGAGGAGAAGCCTAGAGGAGGGCGCGTTACCGCGGCAAATCCGAGTAGAGTTTGTGTCGGGCATGGGACCTAACAAGACGAGGCCGCGGGATGGCAAGGTATCGCAGTCCGGAAGTGTAAAGTGAGATGAGGTTCAAGCTTGGCTGGCAGCGTGCCTCACCCTCACTTTGGAAGGTGACAAGGTATACGAGGCTTCAGATATCGGCCAGTTCGCGCGGAGTTGGAGTCGACTCCAAAAAGCAGTAGATATGGATATCTGTAGAGCAACTCAGAGAGAGACGAAAAGGGCAGAGCGGGGGGCGTTGAACAAGTGCCTTGCGGTGTGATACCTTGTGGCGTGAGTAAGGTATAGTAAGCTATGCGAAAGGACCAAGGCAGTCTGCATACTGAGGCATGGTGGACGAGGTACGTAGGGAAACAGGAGCTAGGAAGAAGGAACCGAATGCAACGGCGCTGGCGAGAGTCGCGATAAACTTTGTTTTGGGTCGAGCCAAACAGAGAGAAGCAGGTGTCCGGCGTACCTGAGAAGGAAACACAAGCGTTTGTCCCCTCGATCCATAGTAGAGTGTGGGCTGTGTGGTACCCGTACGAATACACTATGGCCATAGTGGTGCTGCGTGGGTATGCGTAGCAAAACGAGTTGTGGGGGACGTGGAGAAGGTGACGGTGATGTGCCCTCGATGAGGTGACTTGCTTGAGAGCGGGCTCGAGCAGGCCAGGACACCACCTAGGCTGTGGACGAGGGGTGACGGACGACGGGGGTCCGTCCGCGTGCCGGTCCAGGGTCCTGATCATGATGTCGAAGTTCCCGGCCTCCAGGGGGGTTAATTGGAGGGGAGGCGGCGGGAGGAGAATGTGAGGAGTCGTTGTGCGTAGTGAGGAGGAGCCGTGATCCACAGAGCTTGCTGTCGATAGTCGATAGTGTGCTGCGACGGCAGGGAAGTACGTAGTTGCGCATATGTCCAAGGCAAAGTCGCAAAGAGGGAGGCCGAAATGATCATGTAAAGTACATTTTGGACTTGGATATTGAGCAACAACCGCGAGATGAAGCAGAAGAAGAAAAAGACGGAGGAGAAGGAGGTCCAGTAGGAAAAGTGGGCGGTTGAATGTCAAGGAGACTGGAGTCGAGTCGAGTCGAGCTATTTTTCTCCCTCATTAACAGATTTGGAGACTTTTGACAAAGGGAACGACGTGAAGTGGATGATGGATAACAAGTGGATTGAACCGCTGTGATAGTCCGGCCACAAGATATGCTACATAGTTATCTTGAAGCGCAACTACTTGCTTAACTCTACTTTGATGAGTGGCCGATAGAAAGAGGCGAGGGAATTATTGCAGCCGACGAGAGAGATATGTCTGGATGCGGAGTGCCTCATTCCTCCCATATTTCATTGGAAGGGAAAAAGAAGAAGCAAGGTAGAGGGTTTGAGGAGGTATATGAACATATTCCATTCGTTTTAATATCGCTACTTGCCGACTTCGTACTTACCTTGACCTGAGTGCTTGACCTTGACATCGTTCTGCTTTCCACAAGGTAGGTAGCTACGGCAAGCAGGCGTAGCTGAAATCCATTCAGGAAGGACAACATATGGCATCTCGAATATGGAGATTTTCAGGAGCTTTGGGGCGAGCGTGATGCAATGGATGGCAGGTGCAATTGCAGGTTGAAAATCTCAAAGAGTTAGACAGGCAGGAGCTGCACAATCAGCCCGAGCTTCTGCTTGCGATGCGGACTGAGGACTGTGGAAGGTGGACTCGATGAGAAGGTGGGGTTGGCAGGAGGACCCGTGCGAGTGGAGGTTGAGCATTGGATCTTGACCACACATCAAGAAGGTGAGGTACGTACTGAGCTGGGCAGAAATATGGAAGTGTGGATGGTGAGGCAGGCGTGGCAGGCACGACAGGGCAGCAAGAACAAGGAGAGAAAGTGGGCTGTGGAGCCGGCACAAAGAGGGAAAGGGCGACGATGATTGACCAAGGTGCTGACGGGATTGAATCAGTGCCCCGGCTCTTAAGGCACCTTTAGCCTGGGAAACCCTGCCTGGTATAATTTTGAGTTTTCTAGTCGGTGCGGGTTAATATCGGAACTACGCACTGTAACTGAGCACTGTATTTCTCCAGCGACTCTGCACAAACAATCCACTGAGATACGGGGACATGGCCCCGAAATTGGGGGGTCTTGATGCGCTGCTGGAGTCGCTGACTTGCTGGATTAGGCGCTGGAGAAACCAGTTGGAGACCTGGCGCGCATGGCAGCCTGGGTCCCTGGGTACCTGCCTAGGTAAGGGGTCGGTGAAGAAGTTGAGAGCAGCGTGTCATGATGGTGCTGCGCCGGGGGGCCGGGGGGGCCGTGGCACTGGGGGTTCATCATGGTCGCGATGCTGGATGGAGAATGGCTAAGGTCGGGTGGGGGAGTGTGGTGAGTGGGAGCCTGGCACGCCGCAAGCCGCACGCCTCGGGCTGTCATATATGGATACATACCTTACCTTATGAGAGGAGGGGAGGGGAAAAGAGAGGTCGGGGGTTGTTAGAGAGGGCACGAGGTTGGCACGAGGCATCAACGATGGAGAATGCCATGTCCGTTATTGTTATTGACAAGGCCTTTGAAATGGGAAAGCTGGGAAGGGAACCTCTCCCTCCGGCCGCCGGGGCGGTGCTTCCCTCCTTTCCCCGTCGCTTCCTCCGACCACCCGACCCGATCTTGGAGCAAAATAGAGCAATTACGACGGTAAGGGCCTGTCCTGCCTGCTTGGAGATTGGAGTCAAGAGTCGAGGTCGAGACGTGGATGTGCAACTTCCGAGAGCCAGACCTTACAAGTTACCTACCACAAGGGAGGGAAGGTAAGGTACGGACCATGCTATGCACCTGCCGCTGCAACTGCCACTACCACTGCCACTACCACTGCCACCACGTCCTCGCCAAGGGCAGGGACGACATCCGGGAAGGCGAGGTAGAGGGGCCGAAAGAGAGTTGGCAGGTGCAGATGCCAACCCAGTGTCATTCGACGGGATCCTTCCTTCCCATCAGGTCGCTTCCAAGGCTACCTACACCTCACGGTCAGCTGGGCAAATCTCTGTCAGGAGCGAACCGAAAGGCAAGCGCACCTTACTCGGTGTCTTGCCTACCTTACTTGACGGATACACCCACCTTCTCTACCAAATAAGGCACCTTAGATGGATGCCTGATGAAAGGTTCTTGCTCTCGTTCCCGTCCCTCCTTCCTTCAAAGTTGAGATTCGAGTTCATCTCACCATTGAAGCTGCCCATTGCTCTTTCCTCAGGCACGACCGAGTTCTGAACTTCTGACTGCTGAAGTTTGGTTGTGTCCGTGCTTGGCTCCTGCTCTTTCCATTTTCGGCCTGGGCCTGCTCCGGATTCCGGACCCGTTCCGTATCTCTCTCCCTTGACCATGACCTGGCAAGATTGGCCTGCTCAAGCATTGAGCATAACCAAGGCCTTGATCGTGTCCTGGTCTGCCCGGAAATCCCCCCTCTCCCCCCGACTTTTTCTGGAGTTGCGCCTTTTCTTTGTTCATATTGCTCCGGGATACAAGCTGTGTCTCCGTAGATTAATCATCGGAGGCTTGACAATTCCAACTCGATTCGGCCACCAGGTCTCTTCCTTGTCGACTGAGTGCGGCAATTAGGCCCTCTTGCGCAAAGGCCCGACTCTGCACTGTGTTTCTCGGGGTTTCCTTGGAACAAGGAAATTCGTTATCGATAGTTGCCATCGCTTCAATATCCTTTGGCTGCCGCAATCAATACTTTGCCATACATAGTAACCTCCTTTTCGCACACGGCATCGACATCGGATATTGAGTTACCTAACCCTGGATCAACAATATAGCTCGCTTCTCTCCAATATGTGAGTTGCATTCACTTGCTATTAGGAGAATGGCCAAAATAACAAGGTAAGCCACTCCCGCAAGTTGCAACATACCTTACCTTACTTGGGTACCTAACTTCGTACCTTACGCTGGGCCAAGTACGTAAGCAATTAACTCGATCCCAGACCTTCATCCGCTTCACCTCACCTCGGGGCGTGTGACTTCTACGGTCTACGGATACCCAGGCTCTGAACGTTACCTCCCGCCCTCGTGTCCGCTTCTGTCCTCCACTCTCCGACTTCACGTCGTCACCACCCCCGTGCCACCCCTCGACGTGACCGGACTACGCTCCGATCGCATCTGGCTCGGAGGACGGCGCGAGCGACTCTTCCCTTTCCGCCTCGACATGCAGGAAATCGCATCGGACGGCCTGCTTATCCCTCGGCATCCGTGTGCATCGCCATCTGATGATTGACCGCTTTGGTGCTTGGGTATCGCACCGCACCGCACCCGCACCGTACAGCACCGCATCTCACCTCACCTCGCACACAGTCGCAGTCGCACAGAGGCAGTCAGTTGCTTGGCCCATGTGGCCACCGCTCTGCCAGACCCCAGCCTACTAACGCTTCTTAACAGCCACATTCGTCCGCCGCTGCAGCCGTGGGTCGAAGCTTCTGGGGGCTACTGCAGCCACTGCATACTCTCTGCATGCACCCGGCCGTGATCCCTTCTTTCTTGCGCCCCCAGTATCTGTATGTACGAAGTACAGACGACAGCCTACGAATACAGAGTACTGGCCACCAAGATCAAGACCTGCACCTCGACCGAGACCATTCAGAAGACCAGTAGAGAGCATACATTGCAAGCTAGATGCACATCCACAGCCAGACCGAGCCAAGGTCGTTGTCGAGGCCCACATACCAAACCAGGCCGTTACTGGCGACTGCATGGCATTGTATCCGTACCTTGAATCCTCTGTACCTTGCCGCTCGATGAATGTGCAGTGAGGTCAGGAAGGCAGGCGGTCAGCCGCCCATCACCCGCCCTCGTCCTCATCCTCGTTCTAGTCCCTCCACCACACAACGGCGCCCGGATCCATGTCGGTACGTGGAAGTAGCAGCTCAGGTACCTTGCACAACCGGTCTAACGCCGACAAATGGGAAGCTAGAACGCCCTACCTGACCTTGACTGCTGATGCTTCTGCGTCGGCTGCCGCTGCTACTTGCTCTTCTGCTGCTACGCTACGGCTAAGCTACGCTGCGCTACCCTCGAAGCTCCTCGGGAGCCAGTGCTACTGTGCCGCGGGGCTAACAAGTAGGTAGTGTACCGTTCAAAGTATGTACTGCGTGCGTAAAAGAGTGTGAGGGGCAGGGAAAAGAGATAGGTACACTACTCTCGCGTCTGGTGGTCTCGTCCCGTCTTGTCAAAATAACCAGGACGATGCTGACTATCGCAATTCAGGCCGCCTTCTGATCGTCTCGCATCAACTCGCCTCGTGTCCAAGACCTCTTGCCGTTGATTACCTTGGAGCACGGGAGCCAAGATTACGCGTCTTTCCCGTCTTTTGCTTGATGAGACGGGCTGCCTCTTTTTCTCATATTTCCCAGGGACCCCTTTCTTCGTGTTTGTTTGGAAGAAGGGGGACGGGGTATCCGAGCGCCCCCAATTGTCAAGAGGCAGATATCCGCACCCAGGCTATTCGCGAGAGAAAAGACGCGAGGGGGATTGGCAACAAGTGCAAGAAGAATGCAGCTCTGCAGGTTACCTTGGCGAATAGGTAGTGGCCATTTCGGAAACGGAGATTCAAGCTACCTACCTTACCTTAGGTACGCACAGCTGTCCCAGGTACTTTGGCAGCAGCACGATGCCAATGATGCGATGCGACTGGTTCGTGGGATTCCGGACGCGGCACCTTGGAGCAGTGAATGGGTGGGTTGCGCACCTGCGCGGGCGGCGGGACTACGGGGACAAAAAGAAGAGGGTACGTATCCGTGCTATGTAAGGACAGTACGTACTGCCCCGTGGACAAGCCCGCGGCCGGGTTCTATCAACTGCCATGATGAGGACCGAACCTCAACCCTGCGCCTTTTTGCGGACCCCTGGTCCGGGTGCGGGCACAGACTGTTAGCTTCCCCTTTCAGGAACTTCTCCCACGACCATGCCTGGGCGCCTCCGCATTTGTGCCTCGTTCTATTTTTTGTGTGCTATTTTTTTTTCTCTCTCTTGCGTTTTTTTTGCTTCTTCGTTTCTGTTTCTCTCTGTGCGTTTGTACCTATCTTTGTCTCTTGCCTGGGCTCTCTCTCTCTTCACATCTTGCGGATACTCTTCCAAGTTGTGTGCTGTGGTTTTTTTGGGCCCCCTCCTCTACTTCCTTGACACACCCACATCTTACCACCCCGTCACCCGTGCTCCGAGTGTTTCTCTTGTTCGGATTATTGACAAGTCGTCAACCTTGAACCCTTCCTTTACCTTCGCTTTGTCATAATATTCTCGCAATTCTTGAATCCTCGCAAAAGCCGGACACGAAGAGGAGGAGAAAGGAGGAGTCGGGAGATTACCTTTGGTCCATAGGGTCACTAGCGCCCATGTACCTATGTAAGTCATAACGGATCTCCATATGAGTCTAATCATGCGCAGTGAGGCTTTGAGAGATGCAACCGCAAGCATCGCGAGTCGTGGTCACGCATTCGATATACCATGGATTCAGGCATCTTGACCGACCGGCTCAATTACCTTCCTCTTTCCTCCTCCTTACGGATACACTTGACTTGGTCAAGAAAAGCGATCTCTCTGGTTTCTTGCTTCCTCGGTCTGCGGCCTCTTCCCACCCACACCCCTCGTTTCTTTCCATGTCTCTTCTCTCAGTGAGCAGTGAGCAACGAGGTTGTCTTCCTGACCGACTCGAACCCGGCATGTGCCTGCTCTGGCGCGTCTTGATTCCCGGGAGAGTCATGACACTTGACGGCAGAGCCCGAACAAAAGAAAAGCAGAGTTGCGACACCTGAATGCTTGAACGAACCGCGCCGTTGACAGCCTTGCTTTTGGGGAAACACCCCTCCCCTCCTTCGCCGTTGTTCGGCGAAAAAATAAGGACAGACTCAGAGACATTGCCTCTTGTCTGACCAGCCTGCCAGCAAAAGCCTCAGTCAGGCGCCTGTGTCTATTATATTAACCCTCTCTTAATATTGCCTGCCCACTCCACCATACCCGGACAGGGATGTTGGAACTGGATGTGTGCCCCAAGCGAGTTGAACTCGGCCCCTGGCCTCCAGCAATCTCGTGAACCGATCCCCCCCCCTCTCACCCTCCCTCTCTCTCTCTCTCACTCTCACTTTCGCACTCTCACACCCCCTTCGCCTCTACACCTTTCCACTTCCTGACTTCGTCGGCGTCTCTGCCCAACAGTCTTCTAGAAAAATTGCGGGCCAGTAGCCTACAACAACCGTCGGAGGATTCTCTCTCTAGTCTTCTTATCGAGCGACACCCCCCTCTTCAACCCCTGGACATTTCGCCATGATGCTTCCATTGGTCAAGACGAGGGTCTTGGGGCATATCCAGCCTGCGATTTCTCCTCGAGAGATGCTCCCCCCCGTGCCTCCGTACGATCCATGCCAGGTTCTTCTCCGTCCCTCCATCTCGACAGAGCTACGTACCGCATATGCCACCCTGCTCACCAGGGTCAGTAGTGCCAACCCTGAAGGCTTGCCGTCAACTCTCTTCCATGTCTTTTGCTCCTAGCGATACCAATTTGTGCAAGGGACTTGTCCACGCCTCCGGCAGAAGCGGGGGTGTGCTGGAGGGGAGGAGAGAAAAAGAGTGAGAGAGAGAGAGTGTGTGTGTGCATGTGCGCGCGCGTGTCTTTGAGGGCGACCGAGTGAGAGGGGAGGAAGAGAAACAGAGAGTGAGTGAGTGTGTATGAACGGTACGGTACGGTACGGATAGAGAGAGAAAGTGGGTGTATGCCACTGTCCAACCGGGGCCATTCAACCCGTACGTATCCATGATACCTACGTAGCTATGCATCTTTTTCCTCAGGTATCGTATGTATGTTTATGTGCGGGTGCGGGTAATGAAGACAAGACTGGTCTTGGATGTGCGAATATGCGTCGGCTGGTTCTACTTGTTCGTAAGTGCGTTTGGGCGAATAAGCGTTTTGTGATGCGCTGTTTCTCCATCCCCCCGGAGCTCGCCCGTCATGTTCACTCTGTGGTCTTGCTCACACTAATAACTCACTAAAACTAAGGTAAGGTAAATATTGCGTACCTTTGCTTGGACGGGCCAGTAGTCCGTATGCAAATTCATAAACCAGAGCTACACTACTGCAACAGCAACAAAAGGCCCTGGACCTGGTATCCTGAACTGTGCTCGTTTGCTCTTATCAAACCGTTTCAGTGCCGCCCCTCGTCCTGGGCCCTCGTCGACGACCTTGTCTTCTTTCTTCTCCTCCTCCTCCTCCTCCTCCTCCTCTGCTCCCAGTCTACCAGTCTGCAAGTCTGGGTCTACCACGGCCTGCGTACTGCTGCTTCTGCGTCCTGCGTCCTGCGTGCCCCCTTCCCTTCCCTTCCCCATAGCGCCGCCTTCTAAGAAGGGTATTTCCCTAAACCTGGTCGCCGCTCTGCAGGGCGCATCCATACTCCATCGTCGTAGCTCCATAGCGTGCCTTGTTCTTCCGCTCACCAGATCGCCCGCTCCTCACCTTTCTCCTTCCCAGTATGGTTGCATGCACTGACCGTCCTGTCCAAGAACCCGCCATCACGTTGTACCGGTGACCTTGCCTTTGCCGCTGCCGCTGAAGAAGGCACAGGTCAACGGCCCAGCAGGAGGGACATCCCGTTGAGACATCAACTTGCTGCTCGACTCGACTCCGACTCGACTCGACGCAACCTTGACCTTGAACCTCGACCTTGCCTTGGCTGGCCTCCCCCAGCCCTGCCCCATCATTGTATCCACCCCAGAACAGTGCCGAAGATTTTCATCAGACACCCCCTCCAACATCTACCGTCCTCTTGCGACCCATTCACCCCGTCAGATACAAGTATACATCTCTCCCTGCAACCTTAAACATGACCGTCGTCCGTTGATCCTCAACTTCATCTTTGCATCTTCTGCATCTCTCGAGTCTTCGCCATCACTCCTCGAGATCAAATAACACACTCGCTCATCCTCTCCTTCTCTTTACCAATCCCAACCTCTTTTGGTCAAGACGACTTACATCAACAACGTACATGCCCTTGTTGACTACCCAGCAAGGACCTCGACATATCCTTGTGTAAAGTACACACGGAGACCAGAGACAAAGAAAGAAGAAGAAGAAGCAGAGTGACAGAAGCGCGCTTGGGTCTGGAACAGGACTACAGCGCATCAGAGAGGCATGCTCTAATGTCAACCACGGTCACTTACCCCGTCATGGCAGAGCTGAAAGAGCCGGCACATTCCAATCTTTGGTCGAACTATGGGAGTCCCGTCCAAATGTCGTCTCGATTCAACAACAGCCTGGATTCTGGCCTCGGAGGCCACGCCGCCAACTCACCACACGCGGGACGCCCTAGAAGCACCCACCCGAGTGTAGACCACGGATCTTATCCCTATGGTCGCTACCCTCAAGACGAGCCCGATGCGTACGATAGACATTCGCATCCCAGCTTGACATCCCACCACAGCTTCCCCAATCTCAAGAGACCCTACTCGCAAACCGAACAGCCCCCTTACCAGGAGATTGTCCAGGACCTGAGAGACGATGGCTCCAAACTTACCGTCAACCACGACCACAAGCTGTTGTCGTTCAAGAGGGTACAAGACAAGCACACTATTGTCGACCAGCATGGACGCATGCAGCAGCTGGAGCTTTCTGCTCAGCTGCACGGAATGTTCTTCCTTTCCGAAATGCCAGCCAACAGCACCGATGGTTCCATCCTCCAGCCCGAACTGACCTGTTACCGACGAAACCTCTTCCAGATTAGCGGCTCTCTCATCACCCCACGAGGCCAGCTCTCTGTTATATCCGAGACTGGCGAGACGGTCCCCGTCAGCAACACTGAAGTGACCATCTCTGCCATCGAGTCTGTCGACGGCCACCCCGTCCGACTTATCGTCATCCCCTGGAAGACGCCCCCACCCAACTCTCCCGAGATCACCCAAACCCCGGACCAGGAGCCAGCGTCGCTTCCCCTTATCCCCTTCCAAGAAGACGGTTCGGAATCCGATGGCGAGTATGCCGTTTATCCCATTGGCTGGCGCCGACTGCAGTTCAGAATGTGAGTATCAGCCCGAAACAGGCGCACTTGCGCGCAGACGTGACGAATCTCGGCTGATTTGACAAAGTGCCACCGCAAACAACGGGCGGCGAAAGGAACTCCAGCAACACTTTGTGCTCCACCTCAAGGTTGTCGGGACGTTGGCCAACGGAAGCAAGATTGTGCTTACTGAAGCGACTACCGCGCCTATTGTTGTCCGGGGCCGTAGCCCTCGCAACTTCCAGGCAAGAAAGGAGATTCCCTTGCTAGGATCGAGCGCTGGCTCCAGGGGCCAGGCCTTAGTTGAGACTGGACTGGGTATTGTGGCGGGACCGTTGGCTATCAAGCCGCAGGATGCCAAGGCAAGAGGGTTGGACATGCAGATGCCTCGTTCCGCCTTCACCTTTAACGCAGGAGGGCCCAAGATGCCTGGAGCACCCATGGGAGCCATGAGATCCAAGTAAGCTAAACAACGCCCCCTCCCCCCTTCCATCCAGAGTACATGTCTATCACTTGATCGACATTGTTGCGATACAAAGCCCGGTCACTGACCCATCTTAGCTCATACCCCAACTGGTCCTCCTCGAACTCTGTGCCCGGGATGCCACAACTACCACCAGCTGGCTCAGCAAGCTACCCCGCTACGACAATGGGAGAATCTTACCATAAGGTTGCTCTGCCGGGAAGTGCAAGCTTCGGTGGAGAGGCCCATGATATGCCTTTGCAAACGTCGATGCCTTCCGTTCAGCTTTCCCTGGTTGCCAACGAACAGCAACAGCCTCCGATCAGGACACAATACGCTTATGTGCAAAGCACAACTGCTCCGCCACCACTATCAGTATCGGCCACGGCAATGGCATCGAGCTCAGACAACGCGCTCAACGTGCCCAGATACGTCGATAACCCTCGACCTACCAAGAGCCCCAGGCATGCAAGCCAGCCTTCCATCGGGTCAATGTCTCATCACGAGGCATCCCCGGAGTACCGGTACGGCTCGTCGTACGGAGCAGTGGGCAACAACCCCAGCGATATTGCACCGCCATCCTACAAGGCTGAAGCCCCCGCGTCACACTCCAACCCATCTCGAGACTACTATCCGCCCTCGAGTTCATGGACGACAACAGCTGGAGAGCCTACCTCGACTGTTGCGTACAGCAGCAGTGAGGCAAGGCCGTACGGCTTCCCTGAACAGTACTCGAGCGGAGGCTCTGCGCCAACCACCAAGCAGGAGCATGCTCCCGCTCCTCCAGCCCCTGGGTCATACAGCAGCGCCCACCGGGGATCGTTTGATGGCATGAACCATTATTCCTGGAACACTAATTAGCTGCGAGAATTACTGATTGGCGGCTGGGTCACGCCACTTGTCTCCAAACATGAGGGGCAATAATAGGTCGGGCCGAACGATGCTTGAGTTGAGCGAAGCAAGATTTGAGGGCCGAACTTGTTTCCGCGCCTGGCACAAAAGCCCTGACTGTGTACCACTAAAACTTCAATTCGTGGCCAGAAGAGTGATTGCGGTTCCGATTCGACTTTTTATCTCCAAGTACCTAGGCGCGATATTTCGATTCTGGAGCGCTGTCGAGGCGGGGGATTCACACCGATTGAAATACGGCATATCCCGCGGTAAAGGAGGTTTCCCTCTGGCGGTTGCCATTTTTGGCTCTGCTCGGCATGGGCGTGGTTTGTTTACAAGGTCTCATGACAGACCGGACCCGAGCATAATTTGGGTAGGCGCAGCAACGACATGGTCGAGATCGGCGTCAAGAGACGGGCATTGTCTGGGTGGCTGGGCATTTCGATACCACACGGAAGATAGCATTGACGTCGAATGCTCCGGCCGGACGCTTCTATCACCGGCTCCGGGCCGTGCTGCGACATTGTGTGGGCGGGTTACTTAACGATATGTATGGTATTTCTTGGTTTTTGTTAAGCGCCGGGTACCGGACGGGGAAAGCAATGAAAGGCATTGTGGTCTTTACTCGGCATCCTTGCTCCCGAATGCGCCAACGTTGGCAAATTGAGTTGCCTGTGAGAAGGAAAGGGTATTGGGGAAAGGAAAAAGGACAAAGCCACAAAGGGCTCAGCCTCGAGGATGGGACGACGTCCAAAGTGAGATGGTCCTGAGCTTGGTAGCCTTGTCCCAACCATGTGGTTGGGTCCCGCCACCCACACCTCGGAGAGAGTTCGTCTGATTTACCCGGGGCGGAACCAAAGGTTGGGTCCTGGCATGGGAAGGCACCGGCGGTGTGGAAAAGGATGGCGGTTGAGTGCTGGTTGGCTGGACGTCCGCCCGACGTGGTAGCGTTCCTTCTGTGCGTGGTTTCTCGGACTCTTGATGAAGATTTTTTGTGATTTTGATTTGCTGAAGAATGAGGAAAGAGATGGTTTCGTGGAGGAAGGGAGAGAGAAGAGAGAGAGAAGGAATAGCAAGAGAGAGTGCAAGAGGCGAGAAAATAGGCCAGAAAATGCGCAAGCAAGCAAATAGGCAATGAATAAGCATCCATTCCAGCCCCAAAACCCTAGCTTGACTCTCTTCTCATCCAGGTTCTGGTGTCTGATTGGGGATAACCTCCCCAGAGCTCGTATTCGAACTAAATTTGGTGGTTCACAATGAGCAGAGAGACGGATACGGGCACCGGGCACCGGGCACGCGGGTCATTTATGTGTTTGGTCCACCGAGTCAAGCTGCCTCGACTGTTGGTGCACGACGGACGCATACACACATGGGAAATCAGCCACCGACTTTGCTTGGGTCGGATTGGGACCTTTGACCTCTCCACCCCCTTCTTCCCAGAAGTCACCTACTTAGTTGTATGAGGTGTCTGACCATCTCTTTTCATATTTTGCGGAGGGGAGATTACCACCACCACCACCACCACCGTCCGGCGGCGTTCTACGATCCCACGTCCCACACACACGGCGCGGTCACGATCACACCTTGGCCAGTAGCACTTTCACCGTTGGTCCGTTACGCACGAGTCTAAGGTAGAGGCGCGGGCGGGCCACTGCGGCAGGCCCGCTCAGCTGGGAGTTTGCGATGCCAATAGTGTGATGGGGGGAGGGGGGTCCTAGTGGTGCGTTGGCGCTGGTGCTTGGGATAGGACGGAATGGGTGCGCTTTGGGCGGAAAGATACTGCTTTTGCTTGCCTTGTGCTTTTGTTGTATTTGTTATGACTTTTGATTTGATCCGGTTTTTTTATGTCGTACAGCGCATGTGAGGGAGGAAAGAAGCTGTAGAATGCTGCCGGCTTGGCGAATGAAGAACAGAAATATGGAGAGAGAGAGAGAGAGAGAGAGAGAGAGAGAGAGAGAGAGAGAGAGAGAGAGAGAGAGAAAGACAGAAAGATAGGGAGGGAGGGAGCCCAGAAGGAAGAGAATACGAATGGGTTTGGTTTCCTGTCACTTTGGTCCGAACACTCTAGCCCCGAATCCTTCGTGATGAGAATCCACAGAGACTTGACCGCTTTGAGAGAAGAGAGAGCAAGAAAAAGAGAGGTACTTTTGGTGGGATGTTTGTTGGATCCTTTTCGGTTTTCCATGGAGTCGTATTCTTTGACGTTAGCCCACCACCATCAAACCAATACTACATACCAAATGCTGTGATACGCTGGAATTAGGTAGGTACTGTGGTAGGTAAGGTATCTTGTCAATTTTCACTTACGCAACCCACGTAAACCCACGCAAACGCAAACGCAGGGCGAAGAACGCGGGTGATGCCCGGTTCGGGCCTCTTGCTGGGAGGGCTTACGTTCAGCCTACCGCTGGGCCGCGTGGGATCCTCGTGAAGTGTGTGGGTGCGCGCGTGCCGTTTCATGCATGCATGTACGGACGCGGCGCAAGTGTACGGATAGGCTGGGCAAGCTGGCAGTAGGATTGGGATGCGTCGCTGAGGAAGGAGGAGGAGGGCATGGAAATGGAACTGCAACTGCTGGGGCGGAGATGTACCGGATACTAGATATGACAGGCGTACGCAATGGAAGGAGCAGGAGGGGGGATGGTTGGTAGCATGGTGTGGGGACCCGAGCAGCTGGGTAGGAATGACGATGATCCTCCCCCCCCCCCCCCCTCTACCTGCCTAGCTTGCTAGCATAGGAACGGGGAATGATAAGTTGACTACGAGAGTGAGAGCGAGAACAACCTATGCGAATGGAAGTATCCGTAGGTACGTAGAGAGAGAGGGAGGGGCAGAGGTGGAAGACTCCGCTGGCGCGTTTACACTACTTTCCCACGTTGTTTGAACCCAGGCCGGCCCGCCTTTTCATCCCACCCCTTGCTTTGCCCACGTTATGTTTCCGACTGTCATTTCCCCCCCCCTTCTCCCACGGTGTGTTTGTACATACATCAAAACTCCACACCTCCTTGTTCGGTGGCTTGCTGGGGAGGGGGGACTGGTTGACGAGCTGACGGCGGACACTGGGCAGGAAGTTTTGATACCCCCTCACCCGGGTTGAGAGGGCTGTCATGTTTTGTATTGAGGAGGTGTTAATAGAGGTCAGACAGATGTCTGGGATGGAGGGGGGAGAGAAGGATAAGAAATGTAAGAACTTTAAGAAGAGATGTGTGGTTTTGACGTACTATGTGCTAAACGGGTGGGGTTTGCACGGTGAGATTGTTCGATAAGTACCTTTGTGGGGTGGAAGAGAGATTCATTGGAATTGCTTGACAAATGACCCGAGGTGGTTGATGCATTGACGACTAACAGAGGAAAAGAGGATTGTGGTATCCGCATTTAGCTACCCAAATATTTAACTATCAACAAGTTCAAGAAGCTTCGTTGTAATGCGAAGAGACGACCGACGGCAGTGGCTTGACCCGGTAAAGATGCAGCGTCAATCATTGATCTTGAGCCGTAAAGCAAAGTGACCGCCCACTTGCATAGGTTACAACTCCATTCGATATCTGGCTTGTACTCCGTATTCGCACTTGCTCGCAAGTCTTTGAAAACATTGTGTCTGGAGCGAAGCCCGTTCCTCATGTTCACTTGTCGCACCCATTTGTATGAGTACATTGCATCTCTTCTACCTCAGGTAGGTAGGTAAGGTACCTTACGGTAGTGGTAGGACCTCACGACTCGCGATAAGATAAGGTTCGACGCTCCCACTTTAGCGAGCGAAAATCTCAATTGAACGGCTCCGCGGTCGGGCGAAATTCCACCGGTCAGCCCGCCCGCCGTTCATCACATTGCAACCTTCCGTCCCGTGCTCAGAACTCCACATAGCACCCGGTGTCACTGTGAAGTTGCTCTCTCGTCCGTTTTCTGTCTTCAGCTTTGCACGGGGACTCGGCGATCGAAATTACGGCCGGGTGGGTTACAATTCACTCGCTCGCTCTCTCTCTCATCGTATTCACTCGTCTGGCGCCACAACGTCACAACGTCCCAGAGCACCTTTCCGGTGCCGTCTTACCTGACAACCTCCTCCACGACGAATACGCAGCCATGTTTGAGCTTCCTGACGCAAAGAGGTGAGGCGCAACCATTACCTCTCCTGTGACCCCCTCCCCCCCTGCGCCTGCAGCAGCGCTGATCAGAACTTGGCACGAAACAGAGTCCGGCGAGAAGACCTCGGGGAGTCGTCCGACGATGAAGGAGCGGACCACGACGAGCAGCAAAATGCGGACCTCCTGGCGAAGCTGCATGCCCGTATGGCGGGCATGCTCGACCTAGGCGACGACGCCGACGCCGACCAGACTTCGACAGAAACGACCGAGCAACCAGCAGCAGCGACGACGGACGGAGAAACGGGCAAAGATGCCGGCGGCGGAGACGATGAGCCCGAAGAGTTTGAGTTCCGCCTCTTCACCACGTCGAACCCGGCAACAAAGATTGCGCTGATCGACGAGGACGAGCGCGCGATGGCGGGCGATGGAGCCATGATTCGCAAGAGGCCGCTGTCGTACTACATCGCCGGGGAGCCGACGCCCGAAGTGAAGGCGGAGCTCGCTTTCGCGGCGGTGTCGGGCGAGGAGGTTCTTGAGAGGGCGCAGAGGCGGTGGTGGGGGATGGAGCAGCCTTGGCGGGTGAAGACGATTCCCGGTACCAGGGTATCGTCAAAGGGAACAGCAGGAACAGCAGCAGCAGGAGGAGATGCTGGGAAGACAAAGGAGGAGGCAGACGCGGCGGCGGCGAGGAGGAGGCGGCCTGGGAAGAAGAAGCGTCTTGCGATACGGGTTAAGCAGCGGGAGAGGGTGAAGAAGGCCGAGGAGCTGGAGAAGTTCAAGGCCGGTAAGGAGGAGGCGCTGAAGGAGAAGAAGAAGAGGCTGAATCGGTTGAAGAAGCTAAGGAAGAGGGCCAAGGCGAAGGAGGGGAAGAATGGGGGCGGCGAGGGTGGTGGTGATGGTGGTGAGTCGGGATCTGGATCTGACGGTGATGAGTGATGTATCTACATGACTATCTGCGGTATGGAACTATTAGCCAGATCGACAAGAAAGTGCTCTGGTAGATGTTTCACCATTGCAGAGGGAATTAACAGAGTCTATCTGAGAGAGCACGCGAGAAAGGTATCCCACACGTGATATCTGTGGACGTTCTCTTCCTTTCATATCTACAAAATATCCATCACGGTTGGATCTTGAGGCGGAAGAGCTCTTTGAATCATGGCATATAGCAGAAGTGCAATGCTTCAGAGCGCTAAAACTCCAATATGTGACCTACGAGATTCACTAGCAGAAGCAAATTGTGGATGCCCATGGCGACACCATCGACTGCCAACAAACGTCAACTTAAGAAAACAATTATCTAAATTGAGGCTCTTTGGTTCCCCAATACCTTCCGGCGAAATTCTTCAAAGGTCTATCAAGTCCACCCTCTGCATGACGTGCAAGACTTACTATGTGCCCCAGCCAGTCAAGACTCGCGCATTACCGGAGCAGCACTCAAGGAGGCGACGCGACGTGAATGGCTCGCGAGGTGGGGCCGGGGAGAGCACTGACATACCGGCCCGCCAATGGATGCAGGAGCTCCAGCAGAGAGCTCCCCGTCTTTTCTGGTCGAAAAGGAATGTCCCGGCAGCAAAAAATTTCGAGGACGCCGACTCCCATCAGACGATACCTCATCAACCTCCTTCCCCCCCTACCTCACCATCACAAAAGCCGTTGTCGACAACGAGCAATTCCATCGTCCATCTCCTCTCTGTTCCTTCTTCTCTCTTTCTACTGTACTATTTAATACCCACAGCCTGCCAAAATGTCCGCCTCTCTGAGATCCGTTGCGCCGTTCTTCCGGACGGCGCGCGCCTCGCTGCGCCAGGGCAACGTTAGCCCCCTTCAGGCCGCTCTGAAGAGACAGAACGTCTCTCCCATCCTCAACGTCTACCGCACATACGCCGTCTACGAGCGGACAAAGCCTCACGTCAACATTGGTATGGGCACCTGGACGATCAATGCGTGGGAAATGTAGCTAATCTGGGGGAACCTCTACAGGTACTATTGGCCACGTCGATCACGGAAAGGTACATATCAAGCAAGATCCGAGAGGATTGTGCCAATGCGCGATAAATACTGACCAAACTCCCAACAGACCACTCTGTCCGCCGCCATCACCAAGAGACAGGCCGAGAAGGGCCTTGCCAACTTCCTCGAGTATGGTGCCATTGACAAGGCTCCTGAGGAGCGCAAGCGTGGTATCACCATCTCTACTGCCCACATCGAGTACTCGACCGACAACCGCCACTACTCCCACGTCGACTGCCCTGGTCACGCCGATTACATCAAGAACATGATTACTGGTGCCGCCAACATGGACGGTGCCATCATCGTCGTTGCCGCCTCCGACGGTCAGATGCCCCAGACCCGTGAGCACTTGCTGCTTGCCCGCCAGGTCGGTGTCCAGAAGATTGTCGTCTTCGTCAACAAGGTCGACGCCATCGACGACCCCGAGATGTTGGAGCTCGTCGAGATGGAGATGCGTGAGCTGCTCAGCACCTACGGCTTCGAGGGTGACGAGACCCCCGTCATCATGGGTTCCGCCCTCATGGCCATGCAGAACCAGAGACCCGAGATTGGTCAGGAGAAGATTGATGAGCTGCTCAAGGCCGTCGACGAGTGGATCCCTACCCCTACCCGTGACCTCGAGAAGCCATTCCTCATGTCCGTTGAGGATGTCTTCTCCATCTCTGGCCGTGGTACCGTCGTTTCCGGCCGTGTCGAGCGTGGTCTCCTGAAGAAGGATACCGAAGTCGAGATTGTCGGCAAGGGTGACCAGATCATCAAGTCCAAGGTCACCGATATCGAGACCTTCAAGAAGTCTTGCGAAGAGTCCCGTGCTGGTGACAACTCCGGTCTTCTTCTCCGTGGTATCAAGCGCGAGGATATCAGCCGTGGTATGGTCGTCTGCAAGCCTGGCACCGTCAAGGCCCACTCCAGCTTCCTCGTCTCCCTCTACGTCCTGTCCAAGGATGAGGGTGGCCGCCACACCGGTTTCCACGAGAACTACAAGCCCCAGATGTACCTCCGTACTGCCGACGAGTCCGTCACCCTCACCTTCCCCGAGGGAACCGAGGACGCCAAGAACAAGATGGTCATGCCCGGTGACAATGTCGAGATGGTTGCTCAGCTGCACCACCCCTCTGCTGTCGAGGTTGGCCAGCGCTTCAACGTCCGTGAGGGTGGACGCACCGTCGCCACTGGTCTCATCACCCGTATCCTGAAATAAGGGATACTCGCCGAAAAATATCTCAAAACTACGTGAAACGGCACCCAGAAACACAACTTCCCCGACATGAAATGGGAACCCGGATGGTGAAAAAATTGGGATTGTACAAAAAAGGAGTTGGATTGCTTCACGATTTCATGTACAACCGACCCAGAGTTTTCCGCTTTGAGCCCTCGAGCTCGTGTATATTGTCGGGTCTTGGGCTCAAAGATCTCCGCTCTACTTCACCCTCTTGTCTTTGAATCATGTACTTTTAGAAGACGATGGACAATAGAACAATCTGTGCTTTGTGCCACACGACAACATTATTACTCCTAGCTCATGTCAACGCGTATATGCTCGCTTGATATGTCATCGTGTTACTTGATAAACCTCGAGTCATCAATTACATCCCCAGAACTTGGAGGACCAGACTAGCTAGCTGCTTGGTACCCAGGCGTCGCGCGGTTTCACAAGCTACAGGTGAGTCGTGCCGTCTTCACGCGCAGCTCAGCTCAGTCTTTCTTTGCTTGATATTGAGGGCCCCAAAATTTTGGATGGTGGTAAAAGGTTCAATGTCGTGGTATTCGTCTATCCTCAGTTGGACGTCCGACGGATTTTTGCACTTTCCGTTAAGCCAGCCATAAGAACTCCAATTGCCCTTGGAAGCCTTCCCTCTTGTCTGAATGCATTTTTCCACGGGCCACTCATGCCCAACCACCTTCACCAAGTTCCCATCCTTTGCCGTCTCGGAGTTTTGGACAATTTAACGGTACTGTAGAATGACAGATTCGGGTTAGCGGTTTGCGCTTTCTGAAAGTCATGGCCGAACGAGGGGTAAAAGGCTCAGGCCAAAGTCGATCGTAGGTCCCCAGGGTTATCTGTATTTCGCATACCTTGTTGAAGCCGATGTCCTTGGCCTTCTCACGGAAGCACTGACGGCACAGGTTGAGGTCGTACTTGCGGATGAGACCGGCGGTGTGCTTGCAGACACGGCTATGAAAAGTGAAAATGTCAGCATTTCTGCTTTCTTTCTATGCGCATTTGCGCGCGCGCGTTCCAATATTCCCGATTCCATTTCCTTCCATCCAAAATCTTCGCTGAGAGAGGGGGAATTTTATTCGTACCAAGAGCGGGAGCCCTTGCCGTAGTTGCGGGGGCGGGAGTTCCAGACAGACTCGTGAGACATGATGGCGGTTGTCGAGCGGGTGGGCGGTGTCGTCGAGAGGGTGGTCGGCGAAAACTCGAGATGGTTTGGCTGTGGTTGGATTGAGGACGTCTGGCGGAAATTTTTGTGCGCCTGTATTTTGCTGGGGCTTGGGTCAGGGTGGGTTGGAGCCCCCTTCGCTTCTGGGGGAAGTCCGTGCTTTGCTGATGCACGTGACACAGATAAGATAGGCGATAAGCTTTGCTGATAAGATTTTGCCCCCCTGCTTTCAAGTGGGCCCCTCCTACCTAGGAACGCCGCTTGTTGGAGAAGGAACAAGGGACTGAGCTCTTCTGTGACGTTGGGGGACGACCTGCAAAGTGGCTTCTTTCCTAATTCCTTCACCAGCTGATTTCAAAGCATTGGTCTGCACCACCATTATTCCTAACTGCTGATATCTTCTTTAGCAGCTTGCTATTCTTTTTCTTCGTCGAGATACCATATAGCCTTTTTCATTCCTCCTCGTCCGATCCAATCAAGCAACAATGGTCGTCCTCAAGAGCTTCGTGCTCGGCGCTCTGGCAGCTACCGTTGCCGCCAAGTCTGCCGTGCTTGACCTCATTCCCTCCAACTTTGACGATGTCGTCCTCAAGTCTGGCAAGCCCACTCTCGTCGAGTTCTTTGCTCCCTGGTGCGGCCACTGCAAGAACCTTGCTCCCATCTACGAGGAGCTCGCCACCGCCTTCGAGTCCTCCAAGGATGTTCAGATTGCCAAGGTGGACGCCGACGCCGAGAGAGACCTAGGCAAGAGGTTCGGGATTCAGGGATTCCCTACTCTCAAGTGGTTCGACGGCAAGAGCGATCAGCCTACCGACTATAAGGGAGGTCGTGATCTTGAGGCCCTGAGCACCTTCATCACGGAGAAGACCAGTGTCAAGCCCAAGAAGAAGTACACCCCGCCCAGCGCCGTTAACATGCTCACCGACGAGTCCTTCAAGACCACCATTGGCGGCGACAAGGACGTCCTCATTGCCTTCACTGCTCCTTGGTGCGGACGTAAGTCTCAAGTTCATCATTCCCTTTGTTCTAAGCCGACAATGCTGACCTGATCCTCCTCGACAGACTGCAAGACCCTCGCCCCCATCTGGGAGACTGTCGCCCAGGACTTCGTTCTTGACGAGGGCGTCGTTATCGCCAAGGTTGATGCCGAGGCCGAGAACAGCAAGGGAACTGCCGCTGCCCAGGGTGTTTCTTCCTACCCCACCATCAAGTTCTTCCCCAAGGGCTCCAAGGAGGGCGAGCTCTACACCGGCGGCCGCAGCGAGGAGGACTTTGTCAACTTCATCAACGAGAAGGCCGGCACCAACCGCAGCCCCGGTGGCGCTCTTAACGCCATCGCCGGTACCATTGCTTCCCTCGACGAGATCGTCGCCAAGTACACTGGTGGCACCAGCCTGGCCGACGCTGCCGCTGAGGCTAAGAAGCAGGCCGAGACCCTCAAGGAGAAGGCCCAGTACAAGTACGCCGAGTACTACGTCCGCGTCTTTGACAAGCTCAGCAAGAGCGACGGCTATGCCCAGAAGGAGCTTAAGCGTCTCG